CTTTGTGTGGATGAAGAAACAAAGATTGTCCAAGGTCATACAGCTATTCTAGGAACAGAGTCAGGATTTGACCCCAGGTCTGTCAGACTCCAGAGCCTGAGTGCCCAAGCACTGCACCATTCTGCCTCTGGTGGGCATCTACCAACCTAGGCCCTTGATAGAAGACAGGATCCCAAGATGATAAAGATTAGGCCCATGCTCCCAAGAAGCTGGAAACGTAGGCTACAATTATGATCCCATGTGCACACAAAAAGGAGTCTGTTAAATGCTCATCTGCTAATCAAAAGGTCGGCAGTTCGAACCTACCAGCAGCCCCATGGGAGAAAAATGCATTAGTCTGCTTCCATAAAGATTACAGCCTTGGAAACCCTGTGGAGTGGTTATATTCTGTCCTACAGAGTCACTTTGAGTTGGAATCAACTCACTAGCAGTGGGTTGGGTTGGGGTTTTGCTTACATTGACCATATGGCAGCCCCTAGAATAATAAAACCAAAGCAACCCCATTGTCATTGAGTCAATTCTGACTCAAAGCAACCCATTGTAATCTTTATGGAAGCAAACTGCCTCATCTTTTCTCTGCGGAGGGTTCGAACCACCGACCTTTTGGTTAGCAGCCAAATACCTTAACTACTACACTACCAGAGCTCCTTAGCACCCAGGATAGGCATCATCATTTTATCCCTTAGAGTCTGTCTTCCCCATTATTCTGTGAGTGTCCTGAATTTAGATACTGCAAAGTACTCCTATTTGCATACCTAGTGCCCAGTACTAGGTAAAACTTGGATAAACATTTTTGAATTGAATTGAATTAAGTCTTCTCTACTGAGCCGCATCACTTAGCCCCTCCTGTCCCCCGTTATCTCCATAATCAATTTGACTCTCTATGGAACTTGCTTGTTCTAAAAAGCTATAACCATAAATGGGCATCAAAGTCTTTTGCTAAAATAGAAATGATGGTATCCTAGTTTCCTGGGAATGCTGAAACAGAAATGTCACAAATGAGTGGCTTTAAAAGACAGAAATTTATTGCCTCACAGTTCCGGAGGCTAAAGTCCAAGTTAGGGTCCAGCCATGTTGATTCCTTCCTTGTTGGTAGCCCCAGGCATTCCGTGGTTCCTTGGCTTGTAGACGATCCTCACATGGCATGTCTTCTTCCATGTGTGTGCCTCTGTGTCTAACCTGCTCTTTTTATAACTCAGGAGTAATTATGTTTAGGATCCACCCTACACTGGTGTGGCCTCATTAGCATAAAAAAGAAAAACCTATTTCCAAACAAGAATGGCATCCACAGATTTAAGATTCCAACATATATTTTGGGAGGACACACTTCATTCCATAACCAGTTGATGTTGAGTCAACTCTGACTCATGGTAATGTCAGAGTAGAATCATGTTCAATAGGATTTTTGATGGCTTTTTTCTCAGTGCACTTGAACCACCACCAACTTTTTGGTTAGCAACCAAGTGCTTCAAATCAGTTTTTAAAGGCAGGTTAACAGCTGCAAATTCAACTTAGTTCCTCAGTTATGTGAGTGAGTACTTGCATGGCTTATCTCTCATTTTTCATAAGTAATACAGGGATAATAACACTACCTACCTCACAGGGTTCTGTAAGGATTAAACGAGACAACGCATGTAAAGCCCTTGGCAACGTGCCAGATAGACAGTAAGTTGCAATAAAGGGAAGTGCAGGACTGGGGCCAGGGTGAGGAGAGTGTCTTCACCTCAGGTGCAAAATGTAAGGAGGCATCAAAAAAACCAGAAATCAACATAAGTAAAATTTTTAGTGCAGTAATCCATAATGAACAATATATATATTTTTAATTAAATAAAGGCAGGGTTCAACTCTATACTTGCAGTACCCTACCTCGCTCTCCTCACCATAATCCTGGCCCTGTTGGATGCTGCTTTTATTAGAAATATAGTTATTGTCAGGGGGAGCTCTGGTGGCACAGTGCCTAAGGCACTTGACCGCTAACCAGAAAGCTGGCGGTTCAAATCCACCAGCCACTCCTCGGAAGGAAGGTTGGGCAATCTACTTCTGTAGTGATATCGCCTTGGAAACCCAAGGAGGGATTGCTATGAGTCATGTCCGACTTGACGGCACACAACAACAACAACATAATTATTGTCACTATTGTTATTGTAAAGCACTTTTAAAGTAAAAGATGTTATAGAGAAACATAGAAAAAGGGAAAGTCTTCCAAGGGTTTCCAATCTGCTACCAGGACAAGTGCCCTCAAGCCAACTTCAACTTATGGCGACCCACTATTCACCAGAGTAAAACTGTGCCCAATAGGGTTTTCCATGGCTGTTTTTTTGGAAGTAGATCACCACCTCTTTCTTCCAAGGCACCCCTGGGTTAACTTGAACCTCTAACCTTTTGGTTCTCAGTTGAGTGCATTAACCATTTGCACCACCCAGGGACTCCAAAAGGGAGCACTTGTTGTTGTTGTTACTTGCCGTCGAGTCGGACCCGACTCATAGCGACCCCTCCTTGGGTTTCCGAGGCAGTATCACTACGGAAGTAGATTGCCCCATCTTCCTTCTGAGGCGTGGCTGGTGGGTTTGAACCGTCAGCCTTCTGGTTAGCAGTCAAGTGCCTTAGCCACTATGCTACCAGAGCTCCCAAAAGGGAGCACAAAGGAAGTAAAAGCATGGAAGTGGGAAAGGGCAGGATGGATGCCCTGCTGCTTCCATCTGGCATAGCCAGCCTTCATCTTCCTCTTCCTGGACAACTTCCATTGGTCCATCATGTCTTGGTGTTTATCACACTTCATTGTGACTATTTTCTCCTACCATTAAACTGAGCCTATTGAAGACGGGGCTTTGTCCTATTTGTCATTAACAGCTAGCACAGTGCCCTGAACATGTTCAGTAAGTGTTTTGATGGAAGAAGGGTGAACTAGTGAGTTGTCCCATGTGCTTAGAACCTAAGATGTATAAAATGAAGTGGTAGAAGGTGAAACTGAAAAAAGGTTGAAATCAGATTTGCCAAAGTGAGGAATTTAGATTTCATTTGGTTAGCAATAGAAGTCATTGAGATATTTGGGGGATAGTCACTCTGATGCCAATTTTTAACCAAATAAAAAGGATGGAATGGAAGGGTGAGAAACTGGAGACGGGGGGTCAGGTAAAACGTTCCAGCAATAGTCCAGGCAAAACCTGCCAGGAATCTAAAGGAAAATAGCATCCTTTTGCTGTCAAGTCCAACTCATAGTGACCTTATAAGACAGAGTTGAACTGCCCCATGGGATTTCCAAGGCTGTAAATCTTTACAGAAGCAGACTTCCTCATCTTTCTCCTGCAGAGAACCTGGGGGGTTTAAACCACCAACCTTTCAGTTAGCAGCCAAGTACTACCAAGCACCACCAAGGTTCTTGAGGTGTGAGAGCCATAATAAGCAAAGAAAGTAAAGGACTTGGTGGCTTAGTAGACTTTAAACTCTATTAATCCTTGCTCTTCTGGTGTTCAATTAGGTTTTTAAGCAACTCTGTCTTCTTGATTATGTTTCACTTGAGCTAATATTAAATGGATTTATGTATGCTAAATGCATGTGTGGTAGGCAGAATAATGGCCCCCCAAAGATGTCCCCATGCCCAGAAGCTGTTAATACATTAAGTTACATGGCAAAGAGGAATTAAGGTTGAAGACAGAATTAAAATTGATTTAAGATAGGAAATTATCAAACATTATTCAGGTGTTCCCAATGTAACCACAGGGGTTCTTATAAGCAGAAGAGGGAAGTAGAAGAGAAAGACTCAAGATGGCAGCATGGGAGGGATTCATCCTGACATTGCTGGCTTTGAAGATGGTGGAAGGGGTCATGAGCCAAGGAATGTGTGTGACCTTTAGAAGGAGGAAAAAGTAAGGAAACAGATTCTTACCTAGAGCCTCTAGAAAGCCTAGGGGAGCCTGTCAACACCTTGATTTTAGCCCACTGAGAAGCATTTTGGACTTTGACCTCAAAGTTGTGTTGTTTTAAACCACTAAGTTTGTGACAGCTTGGTACAGCAGCCATAGGAAACTAATACCACATGCTTCACAGAGGGCTGGACATAGGATGCTGGTGGTCCATCCTGGTAGGAATTCTTGCTATAAATGTGCCACAGACTGGGTGCCAAAGAGTTGACCATTTATTTCAAAAATCTTTCATTGTCAGCCCTGAAATGAACTGCCTCTGGGCTGGAAAGTCACTATCTCAAGCTAGAAAACTCGGCACAGTTCTTCACTGTTTGAATTTCTTTTTTATCCCTACATTTCCCCATTATCAGGAAGTAAGATTTACTTGCACAGATTCCCTCTACCAACAGGGACTGAGTCAGCAATAGCTTTTCTCCTCTCAACATAACAGGTGTATAGTGAAGGCATTATGTTAGTTCTCTTGTTGGGGTGTTCAAAGATGATTTGAAAGCAGAGAAAAGAACCCCAATGCACATGATATTCCAGGTCTTGGCTCCACCTTCCTTTTATCAGTCTCAGTTTCTTTATGCATAAAATGTGCATAACATGCCTACCTCATGAGATTTCTGTTAAGTTAAATGCTTATATACATAATCTAGTTAACAGAAATCTCATGAGGTAGGCATGTTATGCACATTTTATACATAAAGAAACTGAGACTGATAAAAGATGGAGCCAAGACCTGGAATATCATGTGACTTCAAACCCATGGTTTTTCCCACATCATCACACAGATTTTCAGCAACCCACCCACTGCCACTGAGTTGATTCCAACTCATTGCAGGCCTACAGGACAGAGTAGAACTGCCCCATAAGGTTTCTAAGGCTGTAAATCTTTATGGAAGAAGACTGCCTCATCTTACTCCTGTGAAGCGGCTGGTGGGTTTGGACCACCAACCTTTTGGCTAGCAGACAAATGCCTTAACTGCTTAGAATGCCTTGATCTTCAGTAAATACTGTAAGAAAGCATTACCCATCCAGAATATTTGGAGGAAGTCTGTTCAAGGGAATGAAAGCTCCCCCACTTTCTATCCACAGTGTGCAACTGTGTCCATGGAGTGTGCAAGAGTGGAATAGACGGCGATGGAACCTGTGAGTGCTACTCTGCGTACACTGGAGCCAGCTGTAACAAGCGTAAGTACTGCTATGTTCCTTAATGTCTCCCCAGATCAAATAGACAAAGATGCATGCATTCCAATTTCTGTTCATGTACTGGGGCTCCCCATGGGTGGGACACCATAGAATGCTTTGCCAAAGGAAACCAAAGATGAAAAAGAGAGGGGAGAAGAGGAAGGAAGGAAAGAGGAAGGGAGGGGAGGGGAGAGGAGTGAAGGGGAGGAGAACAGAGGGGAGGGGAGGGAACAGAAGGGTGCAGAAGCATGGAGTATCCATATGGGGAGAGCTGCAGGAAGATGGTCCCTGCTCTGGGAGATCATGTGAGGGCCCCACGGGACGGTGTACTCTATGTGCACAGCTGGAGCGAATCATCACTGGATTTCCTCATGTGCCCACAACACTGACAGACTATGCAACCGCAGCAAACAAGCACCAAGAAGTCCAGCACTGAGCACCAGGACCAGGACGGGAGCCCCTCCCTCCTGCAATAGCTGTCTTTCGCCCTCTACTGGCAAAGTTTAACACCTTACTGTGAAGGAAAAAACGTTTGGAGTCCAATTCATTACTGCAGAACAGATATCACAGGGGGCGGGGGGATTGGAACTCAGAGGCACAAACATTAAGAGATTGGTAATTCTGCCTGACACTAGCCTCAGTTAATTTAACCTCTAGATTTTATTTTTCTGGTCTGTAAGATGAAGGGATTGAACAAGCTTCAAATTCAAGCTCATTTTATTGAAAGACCCCCAAAATCCATTGCTATCAGGCAATTCTGATTCAGGGTGACCTCATGTCTGTCAGATTATAATTGTGCTCCGTAGGGGTTTCAATGACTGATGGCGGGGGTTGTAGATTGCCAGGCCTTTCTTCCAAGGTGCCCCTGGGTGAATTCAAGTAGCCAACCTTACAATTAGCAGCTGAGCACATTAACATTTTGCACCACTCAGGGACTCCAAATATTAATCTATTTAATAATCTATATAAAATCTATATTACATATAATCTTGATCATTATGTTTCTCTGACTGAACCATAATGACACAATTTAGTACTGAGAATGAGGTCCACAGCAGTTTCTTAAGAGGGCATTCTCTGAGTAGGTTTAATTTTCTAGAACTAGTTCTCTAATCCAATTAGATTTAAAGGCACTAATGGCCCTGTTCCCAGAGGTAAAGAAGGCACTGGTATTTCGTGGCATGCAATGACAAAACAGTTACTTACATTATAACCTATAGATACTGTAATCAAGGGTCAATAGAAGGCAAGGCTCTGAATCACCAAGTATTTCCTGTCATAAAACACTTCAGCAAAAAGGAATATAATGAGGTCTGTTGCTTCTAAGTGTGCTGGAGAACTTGCAGATAGCTAATGATGAGCTTAGGGCTTTAAGCTCCCAGATCAAATGCCCCATAACAAATGAAATCTTTATCTCCTAGAACTGTGAGGCCACGATTGCTAAAAATCAAACCCCAAATCTAATCCTCCAGGGAGCTAAATTATAATGCAATGCAAACTTCGGACCTCTCAGACTCTCTTTTGTTAAAGTTAGGGCATTGACCAGGGTATAAGTTTCCTTTGCTGCTGTAACAAATGACCACGAGCTTAGTGGCTTAAAACAACACAAATGTATTATGTTGCAGTTCTGGAGATCATAAGCCCAAAATCAGGTCCAGAAAAGAAGTACAAAACTTCAATTCAACATGCCATCAGTGTTATCTAGTCACATGAGGCCCCACCTGGATACAAATGGGATGGGAATTGTAATCCTGCAGGGCAGCCACTTCCCTGGATCAATTCTACTTTACAGAGGGGAGAGGGGGCATCCTTTATGAATTTTGGGTTCAAGTAGCTGTTTCAGAGAGACAGTTTTCCATGGGTTTCTCATGTTTCTGCATGTCTAGAGGCCATGGAACTAATTGCCCTTTGTTCCAAGCTATCTTTTCAAGGATGTAGAACAAACAGCCTTGGAAGAGAGAGGTAGTATTTCTCTATAGAGCAAAGATCAGGCATGCCTCTGCCTGTGCCAATTATCAGTGCATTGCCTCTCAGTTCCATAGTCACCCTTTTTGCCTGCTCTGTGATAAAAGAGTAGGGCTTTTTAAGTATCTTTCCTTTGCCAGCCGGCAAAATATGAAGTCTTGTCAGTAGAGGGCACCAGAAGGTCACTGGAAGAGGAAATGGTTTTCTCTTGCGATTCCATTTTGGCTCACTCACCATTTTGGCTTCTGAAGAACACACTTTTTTTTTCTAGTGCTAGGTTTCTGCCAGATTCAGAAGTGGATGTGGAATGAGGACTATCATTGCTGATATCAAATGCATCTTGGTTGAAAGCAGAGAATATCAGAAAGATGTGTACCTGTGTTTTATAAACTATGCAAAAACATCATCTGTGTGATTCATATCAAACTATGGATAGCATTTCAAGGAGAAGCAGTCATTCGAACAGAACAAGGGAATACTGTGTGGTTCAAAATCAGGAAAAGTGTGCGTCAGAGTTGTATCCTTTCACCATACTTATTCAATCTGTATACTGAGCATATAATCCAAGAAGCTGGCTATATGAAGAAAAACAGGACATCAAGATTGGAGGGTAATTCATTAACAACCTGTGATAGGCAGATGGCACAATCTTGCTTGCTGAAAGCAAAGAAGGCTTGCAGCACTTACTGGTGAAGATCAAAGACTGTAGCCTTCAGAATGGATTACACCTCAACACAAAACAAAAATCCTTACAACTAGATCAATAAACAACATCATGATAAATATGGAAATATTAAAATTGTCAAGGATTTCATTTTACTCAGAGCCACAGTCAATGCTCATGGAAGCTGCAGTCTAGAAATCAAATGATGTATTGCATTGGGTAAATGTGCTGCAAAAGACCTTTTTAAAGTGTGAAAGAGCTAAGATGTCACTATGAAGACTAAGGGACATCTGACCCAAACCATGGTTTTTTCAACTGCTTCTTATGCATGTGAAAGCTGGAAAATGACTAAAAAAGACTGAAGAAGAATTGATGCATCTGGATTATAGTATTGGCAAAGAATACTGAATATACCATGGACTGCAAGAAGAATGAACAAATCCGTCTTGGAAGAAGTACAACCAGAATGCCCTTTAGAAGCAAGAATGGCGAGACTTCATGTCACATACTTTGGACATGTTATCAGGAGGGACCAGTCCCTGGAGAAGCACATTATGTGTGATAAAGTAGGAAATCAGTGAACAAGAAGACCCTCAATGAGATGGATTGACACAGTGATTACAACTGTGGGCTCAGAGTAATGACTCTAAAAATGGCACAAGACCAGGCAGTGTTTTGTTCTACTGGGCATGGGGTCACTATGAATTGGGGCTGACTCAACAGCACCTAACAATAACAACAAGTCTCTGCAGGGCTCAGATTCCTCCAGCATTTGGCCACTACTTTCTCCTGTACTTGAGTCAGGCAGTGGCAGCATAGCCAGCAGCCCTGGGAAGCACAGATCTGTGCCTTTCCTCAGTCTGACACACACCACGGGCCCTGCAGAACTACCCATGCAGGGAGCTGGTCATCCGACCTTCATTCCACAACTGGCCTGGAGCTGTCCAAGTTCAAGCCATACACAGAAGCATTTCTCAGAGGAAGGCCTGTTCAACTCCTGGTTCCAGTAGTACCCAGTGAATTGCAAGGGTGACATTTCTCTCAGAATGACCTTCTTCAGCAACCCAGGGGCATATTCTCAACAAACCCCACTAGAAAAGCACCTCAGCAACTTCACATCCAGCGAGCCAATGACATCTGACTCAGCCATGGATGGAGAGGGCTCTGCCTTGGGTAGCTCAATCTTAAAGGTAGTGGTTATGCCTTATCTCTGCTAATACTTTATTCTTCAGAATTTCTTTAACTCTTACTGGCAAATCCTCCATTATTCTAATCCTCTATTCAAAATTCTTAATTCTTTATATTAAACTTTCCCTGTTCAAATCATTGTGTGGTTTCTATCCCCTGCCTGGGCCCTGACTGACAACACACTGTCCATTACAAAAAAGAAAAAAAAAAAAAAAAAAAGATTCCCTAAGCTCAGGGTTCCTCCCCTATAATGCAACCCACTATGTCTTCAGGGGTCATCTGGCCCTCTTCACATTGA